TGTATGACCTAGTCAAGTGGCAGTTCCCGATTGAGATAATCAGGGTGCATTTTCAAAAAGAATACGACGTTGTGATAAGATCATATGTTCTACCAAGGAAAGGAATGATATCTACAAGCCATTCAAGTGCATTTGAGTCCAAAGTTACGCATAATAAAGACAGTAGGTCCGGTATTTGATTCAATTTAGTACCATTAAGTACCGCTAGAGCGGTGTCTGTGTGAAAACGACATTTATGAATATCTTGAGCTCATTAACTAAAGTAATACCAATAGCTGGCGGCTAACGCCTTAGCTAAAAAATGAACAGAAGCATTGCCTATCAACCATACACAATTTCATTTACCACAAAAATATAAAACACATGACACAAAGTGTTTTTTTATAGAAACTGTATCTATAAAAGTGATTATCTACAAGCTAAAAGCAAACAGGACACAAAGTTTCATACATAAATAGTGGGAAATTGAAAAAATATTCCCGAAGACTTTATAATTAATCAATTTTACATTTAACAATTACTTTGATCCTGGTGAGAGGTCTTCCTTGAAAAAAATCGGAACTTTTTGCAGGGGGATAAAATTCTCACAATGACAGTTTATCTCTTTTTATCAAAAATGATGGAAATAAATTAAAATTATGATATCAAAATTGTCAATTTATTGTTCTTTTATGAAACCAAATTACTCTCAATCATGTACACTTTGGACGTCATTCCACGGCCCGCTAGTGCATGGTACATGTATATTTACATGTCAGGTTCATATGTCACCAGAGGCTATCGCATGGTATGCCGTTCTCACGTCCACCCACCCATGCAATTTCATAGGGATCTCAATATTTTTACAAAACACTATTTTTACAGAGTTAGTGCACCACATTTGTAAAAAAGATTTACTCGACAGAGCATAACTCGCTCAACAGTGAAAATCATAAGGACCTCGAGCTTGTGAACTCGTGTAAGCACGTGATATCCACATGTAAGGTCGGTACACAAAACACATGAGTCTGCATTCCATACTCTTCATATATTACCTTCTTGTAGTCGTCTGGTCTTATGTCAGTGTCTTCCCGTGAGTCGATTTATGTCTTTTTATTGGCGAATTTATTTCTGAAGTGCATGTGTTTACAAATTTCCATGTAAAATCTCAATATTGCATATTGGTATTGACATATCATCGTCATGCACGAGTATTATTGTTTACCAGGTGTTACTATAATTTACACTACGGTATTGAAATGTGCGATATCGAGATGATTGAGTCTGCTGTACTTTTCCCCAAAGTACGTCACAAAAATGGACACTGATGACGATACGTAGAGCCAGCTTGTCAAGGCCCACTTACACGAGTCATGACATACATTGTACATGTCTTATTTGATCATTAAACATGACCTTGATCTTTGGTGACAGGAGTAATATGTCAAACATTCAAGTATAATAATATAGATAACATCTAATAAAAAAGAAATGGAATAAAGGTCTATAGAAGTATACCAGGAAACTTTCACTGAAACAAACTTTCACCGTAACAAACTTTCAATGAGACAAACTTTCACCCAGGCAAACTTTCGCCCAGGCAAACTTTCGCCCTTCACCCATAAAATCCAATTTTGCCCAGTGTTAATGTTGCCCTTCACATTAGATTAAAATGTATATTATGTGTCTACTTAAATTTGCTGTAATATATGATAAATTTGCCCTCATTATGGAGAGCAAAAAAGGCGAAAATGAGAATGAAAATTTCCCAGTTAACAGTATAAAAAGACCAATCTTATCTTTGGACCAGTGCAAATACAGCACATTCCCAGCTGTATAATACTGCTTTATAGACTGATGGCTTGGATTTTCACACCAGATTACATGTAAATATTTGTACAATCTGACAGTGCTACAGATCAGATCAGAGCCAGACCGGAACTCTGGCCCAACCAAAGCCACATCACAAACCAATAGAAATGAGGAACAGTGAAAAGATTACTCCTGTGTAGAGAAATACCTACCAGGAACAGTGAAAAGATTACTCCTGTGTAGAGAAATACCTACCAGAAACAGTGAACAGATCACTCCTGTGTAGAGAAATACCTACCAGGAACAGAGAATAGATCACTCCTGTGTAGTGAAATACCTAGCAGGAACAGAGAACAGATCACTCCTGTATAGAGAAATACCTACCAGGAACAGAAAACAGATCACTCCTGTGTAGAGAAATTCCTACCAGGAACAGAGAACAGATCATTCCTGTGTAGAGAAATACCTACCAGAAACAGTGAACAGATCACTCCTGTGTGACAGTGAACAGATCACTCCTGTGTAGATAAATACCTTCCAGGAACAGAGAATAGATCACTCCTGTGTAGTGAAATCCCTACCAGGAACAGCGAACAGATCACTCCTGTGTAGAGAAGTACCTACCAGGAACAGAGAACAGATCACTCCTTTGTAGAGAAATACCTACCAGGAACAGATCACTCCTGTGTAGAGAAATTCCTACCAGGAACAGAGAACAGATCAATCCTGTGTAGAGAAATACCTACCAGAAACAGAGAATAGATCACTCCTGTGTAGTGAAATACCTAGCAGGAACAGAGAACAGATCACTCCTGTATAGAGAAATACCTACCAGGAACAGAAAACAGATCACTCCTGTGTAGAGAAATGCCTACCAGGAACATTGAAAAGATTACTCCTGTGTAGAGAAATCCCTACCAGGAACAGAGAACAGATCAATCCTGTGTAGAGAAATACCTACCAGGAAAAGAGAACAGATCACTCCAGTGTAGAGAAATACCTACCAGGAACAGATCACTCCTGTGTAGAGAATACCTACCAGGGACAGAGAACAGATCACTCCTGTGTAGAGAAAGCCCTACCAGGAACAGAGACAGATCACTCCTGTGTAGAGAAATGCCTACCAGGAACAGAGAACAGATCATTCCTGTGTAGAGAAATACCTACCAGAAACAGAGAATAGATCACTCCTGTGTAGTGAAATACCTAGCAGGAACAGAGAACAGATCACTCCTGTATAGAGAAATACCTACCAGGAACAGAAAACAGATCACTCCTGTGTAGAGAAAGACCTACCAGGAACAGAGACAGATCACTCCTGTGTAGAGAAATTCCTACCAGGAACAGAGAACAGATCAATCCTGTGTAGAGAAATACCTACCAGAAACAGAGAATAGATCACTCCTGTGTAGTGAAATACCTAGCAGGAACAGAGAACAGATCACTCCTGTATAGAGAAATACCTACCAGGAACAGATCACTCCTGTGTAGAGAAATCCCTACCAGGAACAGAGACAGATCACTCCTGTGTAGAGAAATGCCTACCAGGAACAGAGAACAGATCATTCCTGTGTAGAGAAATACCTACCAGAAACAGAGAATAGATCACTCCTGTGTAGTGAAATCCCTACCAGGAACAGCGAACAGATCACTCCTGTGTAGAGAAATACCTACAAGGAACAGAGAACAGATCACTCCTGTGGAGAGAAATACCTACCAGGAACAGAGAACAGATCACTCCTTTGTAGAAAAATACCTACCAGGAACAGAGAACAGATCACTCCTGTGTAGAGAAATACCTACCAGGAATAGTGAACAGATCCCTCCTGTGTAGAGAAATACCTACCAGGAACAGAAAACAGATCACTCCTGTGTAGAGAAATACCTACCAGGAATAGTGAACAGAACACTCCTTTGTAGAGAAATACCTAACAGGAACAGAAAACAGATCACTCCTGTGTAGAGAAATACCTACCAGGAACAGTGAACAGATCACTCCTGTGTAGAGAAAGACCTACCAGGAACAGAGACAGATCACTCCTGTGTAGAGAAATACCTACCGGGAACAGTGAACCGATCACTCCTGTGTAGAGAAATACCTACCAGGAACAGAGACGGATCACTCCTGTGTAGAGAAATACCTACCAGGAACAGTGAACAGATCACTCCTGTGTAGAGAAATACCTACCAGGAATAGTGAACAGATCACTCCTGTGTAGAGAAATACATACCAGGAACAGTGAACAGATCACTCCTGTGTAGAGAAAGACCTGCCAGGAACAGAGACAGATCACTCCTGTGTAGAGAAATTCCTACCAGGAACAGAGACAGATCTCTCCTGTGTAGAGAAATACCTACCGGGAACAGTGAACTGATCACTCCTGTGTAGAGAAATACCTACCAGTAACAGTGAACAGATCACTCCTGTGTAGAGAAAGACCTGCCAGGAACAGAGACAGATCACTCCTGTGTAGAGAAATTCCTACCAGGAACAGAGACAGATCTCTCCTGTGTAGAGAAATACCTACCGGGAACAGTGAACCGATCACTCCTGTGTAGAGACATACCTACCAGGAGCAGAGACGGATCACTCCTGTGTAGAGAAATACCTACCAGTAACAGTGAACAGATCACTCCTGTGTAGAGAAATACATACCAGGAACAGTGAACAGATCACTCCTGTGTAGAGAAAGACCTGCCAGGAACAGAGACAGATCACTCCTGTGTAGAGAAATTCCTACCAGGAACAGAGACAGATCTCTCCTGTGTAGAGAAATACCTACCGGGAACAGTGAACTGATCACTCCTGTGTAGAGAAATACCTACCAGTAACAGTGAACAGATCACTCCTGTGTAGAGAAATCCCTACCAGGAACAGAGAACAGATCACTCCTGAGTAGATAAATACCTACCAGGAACAGAGACAGATCACTCCTGTGTAGAGAAATTCCTACCAGGAACAGAGACGGATCACTCCTGTGTAGAGAAATACCTACCAGGAACAGAGACGGATCACTCCTGTGTAGAGAAATGCCTACCAGGAACAGAGAACAGATCACTCCTGAGTAGATAAATACCTACCAGGAACAGAGACAGATCACTCCTGTGTAGAGAAATACCTACAAGGAACAGAGAACAGATCACTCCTGTGTAGATAAATACCTACCAGGAACAGAGAACAGATCACTCCTGTGTAGAAGAATACCTACCAGGTTTGAGGTGACCAAATGGAAGTTCCCCGGCCAGTAGTTCCCAAAGACAAAGGGAGTAGCTGAACATGTCTGCCTTGATGCTGTACTTGGTACACTGTGTAAATATCTCGGGCGCCATCCAGCGCAGATTCTGTCAATAACCACAACAAAATATATGAATACATGTACCTGTAAGGGCCATCCAGCGCAGATTCTGTCGTTATACAAACATGAAATATGTAAATATCTCAATTATCATCTAGCACAGAATATGTCAATATACAAGTACCAAAAATATCAGTATCATGAAGGCTCCATCCAGCGCAGATTCTGTCAATAAACAAACTAAGAAATATATCAATATATTAAATGATAACCAACTAAGATATAATATCAATATACTGCCTTACTTATGAAGTATATTATGAATTCAGTATGAAACTATAAGAAATCCTCTATGCCTTAGGTTTTGTCATCTATCAAAATACAGATATTGATCACACTATACTTACACCAGGTTGTTTAGTCATGTTGTCCTCCAAAGATCGTAGAAATCTGGATTCTGGAACATAATACACATTGGTCTAAGAAATAAGATAAATTTACATCAGTGACAGCCTACTAACAAATATATGTGCTAGTTAAGTATCCTCAAAGTTACAGAAAGAAACCCTGTCACAAAACATCCACAAGTCTATAGTAAGGTCTTATCGCATCCTTAAATCTGCCTTACTCCCTAAAACCTTCCCACAATGCCTCACCTCCGAAGTCTGCCACTAGTGCATGTCCGTTCTCGTCCAGTAAAACGTTGTGGCTGTTGAGGTCACGATGTATGATTGGTTGAGGCAGCGTGTGTAGGTAGGCCATTCCCTTAGCAATATCCACGGCTATTGTCAGTTTGGAATGCAGATCTATAACTCTGCAAAAACAATGGTCAACCTAAACAAGCTGTTACTGGTATTGTACAATTTACATGGTTGTACATGTAGCATACATGTAATTATGTGTGGGAGTTAGCACCCTTGTAATTTGTTATAGAATGTCATCAATGTTTTGGAGTTTGCTCCTTATGTTGATCGGGTATAATTGAGTGTGAGATTTATCTCTCTTCTGTTAATCGGGTATATTTACATTTGCGCTGCAACCCACTATATGAACATTACCAGCAGAAATGCATATCATTTGAGTAAGAAAGCAAAAACTCTCGTGACGTAACACGTGGTTTACTTATGATGTCATAAATGAACCTTGTTCAATTAGAGTCTTGTCTCTTCGCTTCAGATAACAAGGAGAATGCCCCTGCGTCAAACGCTCAATTGTCTACGGTTAATTATTGGTGCCAATTTTATTTAAATAGGGTTGTTCTGCCAATGTCGTTTAAAGGAAGACGCAAATACAAAGCGCAGTAAATAAGTTAATTATTTAAGAACAAATAATTAAAATTAAACAATTGTCATATAGTAAAAAAATAATGTACCAATTTGAGTAAAAAATTGTTAAGTATAACGTTAACTTAAGTTTGTCAGGACCATGAGCTGATCATTTCTAGACTGATTTTCAGTTAGATCGGCATATTAGAACTAGTTTTTAAGTTTGAAATAGTTTTTCAAAATGCTAAAGCTAAAGCTCAGGTGACCTAAAAAACAACATATTCAATCCATATATGATGATGTGTGAGCAACAGCTCTCATTTGTTATCACTGAAAATTTAAGTGTCATAATTATATCTACTTATGTGCAAAAGATAGCTACCTTTTTTGTTCATGAAGTATACTGAAGAGGGAACCACCAGACACAAACTGAGTAACGATGGCAAATTGCTGAAAAAAAAATGAATTAAATTAAAAACAAATTTCTACGGTCAAGTAAGTCATATATCAAATAATATTTATACATTACATATACAGTATACAGTCAAACCTGCAATCTTTGAATTGGTTTCTTGTTCGTTTGAGTGTTTTTACATCTGCTTCACTACCGAATACTTGTTCAGCAGAAGACAACCTGAGAAATAATACAGGAAAATTTATCATATGACAGCCTGCTGCTTAATCTGTCTCTCAACACTTACATACTCTATATATGCTATAAAGTTTCTATATATGTGTACTACACTACCAAAAGATATGTTTTATTTTATATTTCTTTTATTGAATTTGACAGAATGAATATGTATTACAAAAATATTTCAAATTTCAAACAAATATTTAATAAAAATTGAAACTCAAAATATTTGAGGTAAGTTAAAACCAACATACCTAAGGTAGGTTCTTTCAAATGTTCTTTTAAATGTTAAAACAGAAACTGCTTCATGTTTTTGTTAAATGTGTTTTATACAATGTGCAAACTATTTTGTACATTTTTAGTAGAAAATCAAAAATATGTGGTGTATCAAACTAGAACCCTGACAGGTCAGGAAGGGCCCTGCCATGTGTAATGAGACGGCTAAGGAAGGGCCCTGCCATGTGTAATGAGATGGGCCAGGAAGGACCCTGCCATGTGTAATGAGACGGGCCAGGAAGGGCCCTGCCATGTGTAATGAGACGGGTCAGGAAGGCCCCTGCCATGTGTCATGAGACAGGCCAGGAAGGACCCTGCCATGTGTAATGAGACAGGCCAGGAAGGACCCTGCCATGTGTAATAAGACAGGCCAGGAAGGACCCTGCCATGTGTAATGAGACAGGTAAGGAAGGGCCCTGCCATGTGTAATGGGACAGGTCAGGAAGGGCCCTGCCATGTGTAATGAGACAGGTCAGGAAGAGCCCTGCCATGTGTAATAAGACAGGCCAGGAAGGGCCCTGCCATGTGTAATGATACAGGTCATGAAGGGCCCTGCCATGTGTAATGAGACAGGTCAGGAAGGGCCAGGAAGGGCCCTGCCATGTGTAATGAGACAGGTCAGGAAGGGCCAGGAAGGGCCCTGCCATGTGTAATGAGACGGGCCAGGAAGGGCCAGGAAGGGCCCGGCCAGGTGTAATGAGACAGGTCAGGAAGGGCCAGGAAGGGCCCTGCCATGTGTAATGAGACAGGTCAGGAAGGGCCCTACCATGTGTAATAAGATAGGTCAGGAAGGGCCCTGCCATGTGTAATGAGATGGGCCAGGAAGCGCCCTGCCATGTGTAATGAGAAAGGTCAAGAAGGGCCTTGCCATGTGTAATGAGACGGGCCAGGAAGCGCCCTGCCATGTGTAATGAGAAAGGTCAAGAAGGGCGTTGCCATGTGTAATGAGGCGGGCCAGGAAGGACCCTGCCATGTGTAATGAGACAGGTCAAGAAGGGCCCTGCAATGTGTAATGAGACAGGTCAGGAAGCGCCCTGTCATGTGTAATGAGACAGGTCAAGAAGGGCCCTGTCATGTGTAATGAGACAGGCCAGGAAGGGCCCTGCCATGTGTAATGAGACAGGTCTGTGACCTTGAATAAAGGTGAAGGTCATATATTTGAACAAACTTGGTAGCCTTTCATCCCAGCATGCTACTGAGCAAATTTAACTATACTGGTCCTTTTGGTTATTCAGAAGAAGTTGTTTAAAGTTTTTTTTCTGAATAACCCAAATGCCCAGGGTGATGATGATATCTGGCCAGAAGTATGCTGAGATGAAGGGCTATCAAGTTTGTTCAAATGAATGACCTTTACCCATATTCAAGGTCACAGGGGTCAAATATGTTAATAACTTTAAACAACTTCTTCTGAATAACCAAAATGCTCAGGGAATTGACCCCTGTGACCATAAAAATATATAAATGAAGGTCATTCTTTTGAACAAACTTGAATTATATTCAAAGTCACAGGGGTCAAATATGTTAAAATCTTTAAATCACTTTTTCTGAATATCCATAAGGCCTAGAATGTTGATATCTGGCTAGTAGCATGCTGGGATTAAGGGCTACCAAGTTTGTTCAAGTGAATGACCTTGACCCACTTTCGAGGTCACATTTAGTCAAATATGTTTAAACATTTAAATGACCTTATTTCAATAAACAAAAGGATAGGGTGGTGATATTTTGCAAGTTGTATCCTGAGATGAAGGGCTGTAAAATGTGTTCAACATAATGACCTTGTTTGACTTTCAAGGTCACAGGGGTGATATTCTTTTAATCTTTGAACAGGTTCTTTTGAATGACTTTAAATCATAAATACTGATATTTTGCCTTTAGCTTTATTTAAGATCACTTTTAAGGTAACAAGTGTGAGATGAGTGATGCAGGCCCATTGGGCACTTGTTTTAGATTTGATATGGTGATACACTGTGATATGTAGATGTACAATAGTTGTTTGAAAAGTGTCTGAGGTCAAGGGTAAGTTGACTGATCCAAGATTGACCATTGGGGGATAAACATCCATCAACAATTCCATTACACATGGCAGGGCCCTTCCTGTGAAATAAAAGATCAGCCTGCTGAACAAAAATCAGTCTGCTGAGAAGAAAGATCATCTTTCCATGATAAAGATATATATCTACAGATTAAGATAATCCTGCCATGTGTACACACACACTTTCATTATAAAAGACCTCACAGATACTTACACTGGAATCATCCAGGCATGCCCCTACAAAGCTGATCACATAGGGGCTATCCTGCCATGTGTACACACACACGTTCATTATAAAAGACCTCACAGATACTTACACTGGTATCATCTAGGCATGCCCCCACAAAGCTGATCACATAGGTGTTGTTTTCACCTCACAGATACTTTTACTGGAATCAGCCAGGCATGCCCCTACACAGCTGATCACATAGGGTCTTTTTTTACCACACAGATAATTACACTGGAATCATCCAGGCATGGCCCTACAAAGCTGATCACATCGGGGCTGTTTTTACCACCCAGATACTTCCTCTGGGATCATCTAGGCATGCCCCCACAAAGCTGATCACATAGGGGCTGTTTTTACCACACAGATACTTACACTGGGATCATCCAGGCATGCCCCTACAAAGCTGATCACATAGGGGCTGTTTTTACCACACAGATACTTACACTGGGATCATCCAGGCATGCCCCTACAAAGCTGATCACATAGGGGCTGTTTTTACCACACAGATACTTACACTGGGATCATCCAGGCATGCCCCTACAAAGCTGATCACATAGGGGCTGTTTTTACCACACAGATACTTACACTGGGATCATCTAGGCATGCCCCTACAAAGCTGATCACATAGGGGCTGTTTTTACCACACAGATACTTACACTGGGATCATCTAGGCATGCCCCTACAAAGCTGATCACATAGGGGCTGTTTTTACCACACAGATACTTACACTGGGATCATCTAGGCATGCCCCTACAAAGCTGATCACATAGGGGCTGTTTTTACCACACAGATACTTACACTGGGATCATCTAGGCATGCCCCTACAAAGCTGATCACATAGGGGCTGTTTTTACCACACAGATACTTACACTGGGATCATCTAGGCATGCCCCTACAAAGCTGATCACATAGGGGCTGTTTTTACCACACAGATACTTACACTGGGATCATCTAGGCATGCCCCTACAAAGCTGATCACATAGGGGCTGTTTTTACCACACAGATACTTACACTGGGATCATCTAGGCATGCCCCTACAAAGCTGATCACATAGGGGCTGTTTTTACCACACAGATACTTACACTGGGATCATCTAGGCATGCCCCTACAAAGCTGATCACATAGGGGCTGTTTAACTTGGACAGAATGGCCACCTCTCTACAGAACATGTCAACATCAGATTTGGCACCAAACGAGTTTGCTCTATATCTGTAGATACAAGGAAAGGATACACCTAATTTATATCCAGTTCTCTCGAGTATACATAACATACTAAAAAATACCCCATGGCCAGTAGAAATAGCCTAGTCAGTGCATAGAGTTGTTCCTTTTAAAAGGAGACCCAATACTCAGATGAAATTTTGATTGACCTCTAGTGATGACTGTTATGTTTAACCTCTACAAACGACAATTATGTATGACCCCAAAATATGAACTTTACTAATGACCTTTATGTATGACCCCAATATATGAACTTTACTAATTTATATATGACCCCAATATATGAACTTTACTAATGACCTTTACGTATGACCCCAATATATGAACTTTACTAATTTATGTATGACCCCAATATATGAACTTTACTAATTTATGTATGACTCCAATATATGAAATCTACTGATGAACTTTACGTATGACCCTAACATATGAACTCTACTGATGACCTTTGTGTATGACCCTAACATATGAACCCTACTGATGACCTTTACGTATGACCCTAACATATAAACTCTACGATTAATTTGAAGTGTGATCTCCACTATAACATTTATAGTTGACTGTACCTTTTGATGGCCACCACTTTGCCATCATAGCGCCCTTTGTACACCTTGCCAAATGATCCACTGCCAATGACCTCCTCAAAGTCAAGGTCGCTGATATTTAAGTGGTAGTGACGAGGTAAAGTGGATCTCAGCTGTAGCACATCTATTTTCTCTGTATAACATCACATAAAACTTACAGCATCTGATAAACATAACTAGTATTTCTCAGCTGTATACACATAATAAAATAGTTACAGAGGTTTTGTGAAGTATAGTCATTGTGTATTCTAGCAAAAGTTGAGTATGTTGATGAAAATTAAAGGAAAATGCATCAGTAATGAAAATGGTGTTTGTCCAGGGATTGGGGACAAGACATACAATACCTCTCACCGTCAAAAGAGTGAACCCACATTTTACTATTCACTCAGCACAGGGGAGGGGACAGATACATACAACAGCATCCTGATCTGTCTGCAAACTTACCTAATGTTAAACATTTATGTTTATCCACAGGGGAGGGGACAGATACATACAACAGCATCCTGATCTGTCTGCAAACTTACCTAATGTTAAACATTTATGTTTATCCACAGGGGAGGG